ACAAGCTAAACCTGCAACGCTGGATATAGGCGTGTCATCTATCGTGTTGAGAGAACCCGACCGGATCTCTAAACTTTCGCCCAAATTTTCAGGTCCATTCCTGATAACCACCAAGGGAACGGGCAACAAATTAAAAAAAAATTAAACCCAACTCATAAATATCAGACGTAGGACATGTGGACAAACTTAAAAGGGTGCACCCTGATCTACTACCCACAGATGTTAACGATACCCCAGACACACCTGTTCGGATCACGACACATCAAGTACACCAGCTGTTCCTAATGATTATCGTTTGAAACTACGCTCTGCATAACAATCTCTAGACACTCCCAGTACTTAGGCTTATCATGCTATCCGGGTTATTATCATAGGTGAATGACATAATCACACAGACTAACCATTTACCTAGTGTAGTACATGAGTTGGTGCAGTCAGTGCCCATGCTAGAATGCCTTACATATTTTTTTCTGCATGCTGCGGAAACTTTTTCCAATTTCTATCTTTTGCCAGTGACACAATCATTGCAGATTTAATTAACGCAGGTTTGTGACGCGTGAATGCCCATCACTTGCCTGTACACACTCTTACTTTAACCCCTAAATTTCAAAACACAGGAGGTTGTATTTTTTTCTTTTGCTAGAAGCAGTGCAAACGCATGGTGTAATTTTGTATATTTTCTCTTTTACTAGAAGCAATCTTAAGCATGTTGCAATTTTATTCACATTCCAATGCTATGTCACCGCATGGCATCTGAAACCTTTCCCAGTGCAGGTTAATGACACACTTATGACACTGGATAAACAACAAAGGAAACTCTTATTAGCGGCTGAACACTACTCACATTTAGCAGTGGAGGACCTTAATGTGCCATTACGGTGTAAATCGCCATATTGACATTTATACTCACATCCAGCCTGCATATTCTCTTTTATTCCTGCTGCAGAAGGAATATGCGAACTGGCTGCCATACAGACGAACGCTCACACAGCGCAAAAACACTGTTCTTACACACCCATCTTCACAAAAATGGTATCTCATACACTTCTTCATAACGTGTGGTATTTTTAATTTTCCTCAGCAGACTAGTGTCAGTTTAAAGTGTCACAATGGTGGCAAGCTTTTTTAATGTACCTGTACAGTACAAGGGTATATGGCTCCAGACTATGGTGAACTCACCAACTCACCAGTAGTGCGGCCAAAACCTTGCCATCCCATCAACATTTTGGTTTAAATTTCAAGTTGACTTCAGACCTTGTACCTTCATTTTTAAATGTTAATTTTACTTTTAGCAAACTCAATCTTGTTTCTGACAATTTAACATTAATTGTATATCTGAATTAAAAGCAACCCCCTTCATTTAATGATATTTTCCATTTTATTTTTCTTCAAGTTTTGTCATCCCGGTTTTTTTATACCAACGATTTTACTAATTTTGAAAATTTTTGTTTGTTCTCCTCTAATAGACAACTTTCTATTTCTTTAAAAATTACTATTGTACATAAAGGCCTCACACATAAGGGACTTAAGGCTAGGAATTAAGATACTCAGTCCTCGGTTGGAGCTTCTTCAATTAAACCACAGCACACAGTATTTTGTAACACCGATAAGCATCCAGAGCTATTTTTTCTACGCGGTTAGACAACACCTCATAAGACTCGATGGGTGTGGTCAAGCAATGTATTAGCCCCTGCCTAACAGACAGTAATAATTATATAAATGTGGGGAGCACTAATTATGTTTATATAAAAACAACACACACACATTAATTAATCTAAGAGCAAGTGTTTAGTAAATATTGTCTAGTAAATACTGAAACAAGTGATGTATGCCATGTAACCTCAATGTCTTTCAAATTATCTATGCACACCATGTCCAGCAGGGTCATCAGTTATTCGCAGGTTACTTCAGTCAAATCAGGTCTCTCAGACACACCATATGTGTGTTAACGAAGTTCGCTATAACTCTCTTCAACTATACTAACACTCATAGCTCTACGTGTTGGTTCCGGTGATATCATACGTTAATTGTGCATAGACTATTTTCTTAATGAAAAAAAAAAGGACAATTATGGTTTGCAAACTTTATCAAAAACATTTCTTTGTGTATTTCTGTTACCAACAACACTGTACCTACAGTACAAGACAATGTATCCAGAATGACACCAGGTAAATAGAAAATACATGTATAGTGGGTCAGACTGCCGTGTATAGAGGTTAAGACAGCTGTGTATAAAGGTTAAGACAGCAGTGTATAGAGGTTAAGACAACTGTGTATAGAGGTTAAGACAGCTGTGTATAGAGGTTAAGACAGCAGTGTATAGAGGTTAAGACAGCCGTGTTTAAAGGCTCAGAAAGCCATATATTAAGACCAGGACAGCTGTGTATAGAGGCTTAAACAGCATTGTTTAGAGGCACAGACACTCGTGTATAGAAGCTTAGACAGTCATGTAAAAAGACACAGACAGTTGTGTATAGACGCTCGGACAGACATGAATAGAGGCTCAGAGAGTCGTGTTTAGAGGCTCAGAATGCCGTATATAGAGGTTCAGAATGTCGTGTATAGAGGTTCAAACAATCGTGCATAGAGGCTCAGAAAGTCGTGTTTATCGGCTCAGACGGCCGTGTGTGAGAGGTTCTGCTGGCGGTATATAGAGTTCAGAGAGCAGTGTATAGAGGCTCAGACAACCGTGTATAGAGGCTCAGAAAGTCGTGTATGGAGGCTTAGACAACAATGTTTAAAGGCTCAGATGGCCGTACATAGGGGTTCAGGCAGCCATGTATAGAGGCTCAGATAGCTGTGTATGGAAGCTCAGACAGCCATGCTTAGACAGCCGTGTTTAGAGGCTTAGACAGCCGTGTATAGAGACTTAGACAGCCATGTTAACAGGATTAGACGGTCGTGATTGACAGGCTCTGACGGTGGTATATAGAGGGTAAGACACCTGTGTATAGAGACTCAGACAGCCGTGTATAGAGGCTCAGACGACCGTATATAAAGGCTCAGACAGCCATTTATAGAGGGCCAGACAACTGTGTATGGAACCTCAACCAGCCTTTTATAGAGACTCAGACAGCCGTGTTTAGAGGCTCAGAAAGTCATGTACAGTCGTGTATGGAAGCTTAAACAGCATTGTTTAGAAAGCATAGAGACTCAGACAGCCGTGAATAGAGGCTTAGACTGCCCTGTTTAGGGGCTCAGAAAGCCGTATATACAGGTTCAGACACTGTATATATAGGCACAGACAGCTGTGTATAGAGGCAAAAACAGCCGTATATAAAAGCTTAGGCAGCCGTGTATACTATAGAGGCTCAGACAACCATGTATATAGGCTCAGACAGTAGTGCATAGAGGTTCACACGGCCGTGTATAGAGGCTCACACGGCCGTATATAGAGGCTCAGACGGCCGTGTATGATAGGCTCAGACAGCGGTATATAGAGGCTCAGACGGCCGTGTATAGAGGCTCAGATGGCCATATATAAAAGCGCTGAGAACCGTTTATAGAGGCTCAGACAGCCGTGTATGTAAGGCTTAGACAGCATTGTTTAGAGGCTCAGACTACCGGCTCAGACGGCCGTATATAAAGGCTCAAAGGGCCGTGTGTAGAGGCTCAGACGGTCGTGTATAGGGCCTTAGACAGCCGTGTCAAAAGGATTAGACAGCCGTGTATAGAAGCTTAGACATCGGTGTTTAGAAGCTAAGACAGCCTTGTATAGAGGCTCAGACAGCCATGTATAGAGGCTCAGACAGCCGTCTATAAAGGCTGAGACAGATATGTATTGAGGCTCATATAGTCGTGTATCGAGGCTCAGACACCGTGTATAAAGGCTTAGACGGCTATGCATAGAGACTCATACAGTCGTGCTTAGAAGCTCAGACAGCCGTTTATAAAGACTCAGACAATAGTGTATAGAGGCTTAGACAGACGTATATAAAGGCTGAGACAGCCATGTATAGAGGCAGAGACAGCCTTATATAAAGGCTCAGATAGCCGTGAATATGGCCTCAAACAGCCTGCATAGAGGCTTAGACAGTCGTGTATAGAGGCAGAGACAGATGCATATAAAGGCTGAGACAGCCATGTATAGAGGCAGAGACAGCCTTATATAAAGGCTTAGACAGCCATGTATATGGTCCTCAAACAGCCTGTGTAGAGGCTTAGACAGTCGTGTTTCGAGGCTCAAACGGCCGTGTATAAGGCCTCAGACGGCCGTGTATAAGGCCTCAGACACCCATGTATAGAGGCTCAGGCGACCGTGTAAAGAGGCTCAGATGACCGTCTATAGTGGCTCAAAATGGCTTATATGAAGGCTTAGACAGACGGGTATAGGGCCACAGACAGCCGTGTATAGAGGCTGATGCAGCCGTGTATAGAGGCTCAGACGGTCGTGTACAGAGGTTCAGAGAACCGTGTTTTGAAGCTTAGACAACCGTGTATAGAAGCTCAGACAGTCTTGAATAGAGGCTTTTAGAGCCGTGTACAGAAGACGAACACAACCGTGTATAGAAGCTCAAGCAGTCGTGTATAGAGGCTCAGACAGCCGTGTATAGAGACTCAGACGGTCGTGTACAGAGGTTCAGAGAGCCGTGTACTAAGTCTTAGACAACCGTGTATAGAGGTTCAGACAGTCGTGAACAGGGGCTTACAGAGCCCTGTATAGAAATAGAAACAGCCGTGTATAGAATCTCAGGCAGTCGTGTATAGAGGCTTAAACAGCAGTGTTTACAGGCTCAGACGGCCCTGTATAAACTCAGACAGCCATGTATAGGGGCTCATACAGCTGTGTATAGATGCTTAGACAGCTGTGTATAAAGGCAGAGACAACAGTGTATAGAGGCTTAAACAGCAGTGTTTACAGTTTCAGACGGCCATGTATGGAGGCTCAGACAACCTTGTATAGAGACTCAGACAGCTATTCATAAAGTCAGAGACAGCCATGTACTGTATAGAGGTGAAAACAGACGTGTATAGAAAGGCGCCGGCAGTTGAGTACAGACCTGGGTGGCTCCAGAAGCAGTGAACTTGACCGAGGCGTCGCCACTCTTGCCTCCCATACTCCAAGTGCCCTTGAGCGTTGACCCCGTCAGCGTCAGGTTCATCTGAGATCACAACACAATTTGAGCCTTCCTGCCTATATCCGGAGGTTTTACAAAGGTTCTTACAATGAACTTTCCTCGTAAATGAGAATAAAAGAATACAATTCATAAGCAAGGGCACAAAAATAAGCTTTCTCAGATTAAATGTTTGTCTCCAACTTAATTCTGTCGCCTAACTGTAAAGTTACAGTACAGTTGGGCACAAAAATTAGTGGTCCACCCGAGGTAGAGGTAAAGGCCCGTCCACACCTTACTAATGTGAGTCAATGTCTAGACGCCTTGGGCCTAACACGCAAGCTAACATCAGTCATTGAAGAAACCTGTGGTTAGACACCATACTAAAACTTAAAGTTTCTGACGTTTGCCGTTTTATTGTTTTTATTGTCTGAGAATTTATTATATGTAAATCAGGAAAAGCATTAGTTTGTGTTCATTCTATAACTCTTTAACACTATGATTACTTTAGCTATATATTCTGGTTAATGACAATGACTACTGCACAATTTGAAGTACAGTATTTTCATTTTGTGAAGGAAAATAATAGGAAATGCTATTCCTATGTGATTTACTTCGGTAAAACACTTCTCTTTTACTATGAAACTTATAAACTGACCATATTGTCAGGTCCACTAGTGCAATATCACCTTTCATTAAAAAAAAACCCACTGGACATCCCAAAAGATTACCGACGGCAATGGGTCGTGGAAAAGACGAATGCCTTAGCCTCTCCAGAGATTCACAAACACACACACAACCCCACATGCGTCCGTGTGTGGGGGGTGGTTGAGTGTTGAGCTATGTGGACACAATAAGCTGTATGTAAATGCTTTGTTTTATTTCATACAAAGCCTGCCCATTCTTCTCAATTTTAAGCAAAGTGACCCACCACCTGGGATTACCCGTGCCAACTTTGTGGCCGTAGCAGCATTTTACGAACTCCATCTAGGAAAGACGAGGCCGTGATAGCGACCTCTGTTCACACGCAAAGGTCCAGGATTCGATTCCCGATAAGTAGGTATTGTTTGAATATTGAAGTCTGGGTGTATGAACTGTTGAGATACTGTATATCGGTAGCTTTCTGTTTCCTAGCTGGAGTCGGTAAAAATGCTACGACCACATAGTTGGCACGGGCAAACTTCGGTGGAAGCTCATGTTGCTCTAGAACAAGACGAAGGAGCAGGCCTTGTGTGAAATAAACAAAACCTAGGATTGCTTTTCTTGTCCCTGTTTGGATATGGACTCGAGATATATATATATATATATATATATATATATATATATATATATATATATATATATATATATATATATATATATATATATATATATATATATATATATATATATATATATATATATATATATATATATATATATATATATATATATATATATATATATATATATATATATATATATATATATATATATGCTGATAACCACAAGGAAAGAAGAAAACACGAAGTTCCCAAGCGCTTTCGTGTAATTCACATCTTCAGGGGTGAGTACAGACTAAGGAGAATTACAAAACAAGGTGTATATATACAGAGGAGGGTGAGATCAGGTCCACAATGGTCAGGTATTAGATAATGACCCTACTAATCTTTAAATAGCACAGCAACGGTCGGTAGTCAGGTCAGAGGGTAAGGTGACCCAACCTTCTCACCTGGTTACAAATCTTCTTAATTACAATATTGTCCTGTTTGTACATGCCATTACTCAAATTCATGTTGAATGCTTCGGTATGTTGAATGAGACTAGATTCTATGATGTTCCTACTATCAATTGAATTACAAGTTAATATTGAGGAGGCATTATCCCAGTCAATGCAATGCTTGTTATCCCTCAAATGAACAAACAGAGCATTGGATTCCTGGCCTGTCCTAACACTATATTTATGTTGTTTAAGTCTAGTTACAAGATCTTTACCTGTCTGGCCTAAGTAAAACATATTACATTACTTAGGCCAGACAGGTAACTTGTAACTAGACTTAAACAACATACCTTACCTGTTAGGAATCGAACCCGGGAATTCCGCATGTGAACACCACACCACAGTAGCAACAAAAACTAATCTAGGCTTTGTTGTATTTCACACAAAGCCTGCTTAGAAACGACGATGCTACCAATACATCTCAACAGTCCATTTTATATAAGCAGACTTCACTATACTAACAATTTCTTGCTTGAGAACAGGGAGCACTACCACTGCACCGCATGAGCAACCAAATCTATCCTAGGCTTTGTTGTATTTCACACGAAGCCTGCTCTTTCGTCTTGTTCTTAAGCAACATTAACCGCCACCGGGATATCCCGTGCCAACTACGCAAAATACGACAAAACCTAGGATAGTATTTTGTTGCTATTGTGGTGCCGTGGTAGTGCTTCCTTTTCCTATACAGAGGTCTTGGGTTCGATTCCTGACTAGAAAATATATATATATATATATATATATATATATATATATAATCAACACCTCAACCCGCCAGGATTCGAACCCACGGCCCACTAGCCCATGACTGTGACCAGGGAACGCTAACCGCTGGACCACCAGGATACTAAAAGCAGTCCTAGACTTTGTTATATTTCACACAAAGCCTGTTCAACGAGCTTATGGCGCCGTGAACCTCTAATGGGGACTACCCGTATCACATAGGTGGTCAGAGTAACGTTTTACCAAATCCGGCTTCGAAACACGAGGATCCATATATATTTCATTAGCCCAATAGCACGCGGACTTCTATATACAATCAACACCTCAACCCGCCAGGATTCGAACCCACGGCCCATGCGGTTAGCGTTCCCCGGTTACAGTCATGGGCTAGTGGGCCATGGGTTCGAATCCTGGCGGGTTGAGGTGTTGATTGTATGTAGAAGTCCGCGTGCTATTGGGCTAATGAAATATATATATGTGAAGTTGTTCGCAGTCATATTTCCCGCCTCTGCTGACGGTCGTGTAATATTTCAATGTGATTCTGGATCTATGAAAATGTTGTTTTTACGTAATGTTGTGTTTCTGATACGTTATTTGTCTTAGTATGCCTTATTGTGGGTAAAAATAAGTATATATTAAATGCATCCTTCCCAACGATTATAAATAAACTCATTTAGAATTACATCATTACTTCAGGACAAAATCGGACAGGTTTGCAACAGCCAATCAGCTGTAACTTTTGAGGAGGGGGCGGGGCATCTTTTCTCAGCTGGGAATAAACGCTCTAGGTCGGGAATCAAACTCTAGACCTCTCTGTGTAAACCTGGATCGCTACTACCACGCCACAAGGACAGCAAAGCTATCCTATAGGCTTTGTTTTATTTCACACAAAGCCTGTTCATTCGTCTTGTTCTTAAGCAACAGGCGCCTGCACCGGAGTTTGCCCGTGCCAACTGTGTGGTCGTAGTAGCATTTTACCTCAATGCCGTTAATCAAGAGCAGAAAACAGAGTCGACTAGCAAGGACATGTACCCAATTGCCTTTTCCAAACTCGTCATCTACATTACTGATACGAAGGCTACAAGTGATGGGACGAATCCAGTTGTATTCAGGCTTGCAGATTTAGCATCTCTTTATAAGTAGCGGCTTCAACAACTTGGTGTAGAATCACCAGACGTGAATTCAACGAGGTTGAAACATCAGCTGTGCCACCGCATACCAGAGTTAGAAGCGGATAAGAAAGGACAAAGCCAGATTAAGATGTTCTTATTATGGACGGATCTGTATAGGTGAGCACACTAGTGCCACATTCACCCAAGTCATTTGAAGAATATGCCACTACAGAGTTTCTTCCCAAGATAGAGGCATTCTGTAGCAATCACAAGAGGACTGATATTGTGTTTGATGTTTACTGGCAGAACAGCTTGAAGTCTGAGGCATGGTCAGGACAGGGGGAAAGCAGTTTGAAGGAGAGTGACAGCCACGGGAAAAACATCCTCAAACTGGCAAAGCCTTCTACGTAACAACAACAACAAAAGAGAACTGTTCAACTTTCTTGCAGAAAAAGTGTCGCAAATGAGTACAATTAATATTGTCATCGTGACAAAGGGTGAAAATGCCCCATGTAGCCAAGAAGAGGCTGACACACGGATATTTCTGCATGCACGGCATGCAACAATTGAGGAATACAAGTTACTGATGGTTAAAGCGAACGACGCAGACTTCGTTGTCATAGCCACATCGGTAATGTCCTCTCTGATGCAACTGGGTCTGGAAAAAATGTGGATTGCTTTAGGCAAAGGACACAGCACTCGGTGAATTTCAACTCATGAGGTAGTTTTGGCCATAGGACCTGAGAAAACATGTGATATCCAATTTTTTCATGCATTCAGCGGCTGTGATGTTGTGTCAGCCTTCCATGAAAAGGCAAAAAAGTCAGCTTGGCATACATGGAACGTGTGTGATGAAATCTCTGACACATTTGCAAAACTCAGCCAGTGCGCAACAGAGATGGGTGAGAGTGGCCTTCAAGCGCTGGAGAGGTTTGCAGTCCTTATGTACGACAGGTCCAGTGAAGCAACAAATGTTGATGCAGCAAGGCTTGATCTATTTGCCAAAAAGCAGAGAGCTTACGATGCTATTCCGCCAACCCGAGCTGCACTGAAAGAACATGCCAAACATGTTGCCTGTCAGGCTGGACACATATGTGAACAGGCATTAGTAAGACAGTCAGACCTGCTTTGCCCATCTGACTGGGGATGGGTCAAACACGGCGACATGTGGAAAGTCTTCTGGACTGCTCTTCCACCCATTTCGAAAGACTATCAGGAGTTGACCAAATGCGGTTGTAACTACTATTGTACGAGCGGATGGTGCAGGTGTTTTAGCTATGGACTTCCTTGCACAGCTCTATAGCTGTCCTTGCCAGGCCTAGTGAGGAAATCAAAACAGCAGAGACTGTCATCATCAGGAATATATTACGACATTCACATTAAATGACGGATTCATATAGTGTTTTTTTTTCATAGCAGAATTAATTTCAGTATAGTCTAAAACATATAAAATGATA